AGGAGTTGTAAGAGCTTCTGCGGAGGGCTCATGGTATACAGTGTCAGAGGCAAAACCACGTGCAAGACAGAGAAAGGATGCGAGAGACCAAGAAAGGGCAACCTTAACTTCTTTTTTTAAAAATATATTGCCAGTCCTAGGACTTGAACTCAGGGCCTGTGTGCTGTCCCTGAGCTTCTTTTGCTCAAGGATAACACTCTGCCACTTAAGCCACAGTGCCATTTCTGGCTTTTTCTGTGTATGTGGTACTGAGGAATCAAACCCAGGGCTTCATGCATGCTAGGCAGGCACTCTACCACTAAGCCACCTTCCTAGGCCAGAAGTTCAACTTTATATAGAAACCCATTCTTGTAGGAATCCTAGTAAAACCAAGGTCACTTCTTTAGACCAGGATTCATCACTTCATTAGTGTAGTACTGATCCAAACCTGCAACTAGGCCATATCTCTCATATATTATATATAATGTATAATATATCAGTATATGAACTTTTGAAGGACATAACCAGAACAAAATTCTACCTAAGGAAAACACAGAAGGGGCGGGGTGGCGGGTGGGGGGAGATGGGAAGGGATGAGAAGGGGAAACAAAGAAGGAGGTGTGGAGCACATGGGCAGCAAAGATGGCGCTGAGAGGGAGTTGAGTGGGTAGAGCCCAATTTGCTTTACATTCAGTGTGTAACCAGTCCATGGAAGCTTAGGTGCATGATAGGGTGTGACCTTGACAGTGATTGGTTCCTTTTCCTCCCCTGCCAAGCCACCCACTCTTTTTTGCTTTATAAAGGGCTTGCTCTGGGTTAATAAACGAGTTTTCCTGCTTGACTTGACTCCCCACTGCGTCTGATTGTCTTCCTGGCTAAGGGAGGCTGGGAAACGGGCACTTACCTTTCCTCGACCCCGTCTGTCTTTTGTGGGACTGATGAAGACCCGACAAGGAGGCAACAATGTTTGATAAGAAATGTACTCATTACCTTGCCCATGTAATTGTAACCCCTCTGTAGGGTATTTTCATAATAATTAAAAAAAGAAAACACTGGATGTCTGGAATCTTGCAGGACCAAGTCCTTGAATTATCATGCCAATTCTTTAATGAGTATAGAAACCATGTAGCAAAATACTTTCTGCTCCTGTCTTAACATGATAAAGACATCAATTTAAGAAGGCTTGTGTGATGCACTGATGTAGATGAATTGACCAAGGACTTTGCCTTCTAAATTAGGGCAAAGAGCATTGGAACTAACTTATTGTGGCAGCAAAATGTTCAAAGTCTAGTTCTGCTGAATCTTCCCTCAAAGAAAGCAAATGGATGCTGGTATGTTATTCACAAAATGAAGGACGTGTCCTCATCCTTACCACTAGTGCACACCAGTGACAGAAGTGCTTTCTTCAGTCCAGGGAAGTTGTCTGGAAAAAGTAGTTATGACTGACTCACACCTGAAAAGGCTTAACCAGACCCAAACTTGTTCTCAGAGACATCTCCTCTATACTAGCCAACCTGAAGAATGAAATGAAAGGAGTCAAGTTCATGGCTGACATATTTTGGGTATGTGCCAGTCCTCGGGCTTGAACTCAGGGCCTGGGTGCCCTCCCTGAGCTTTTTTGCTCAAGGGTAGCACTCTATTGCATGAGCCACAGCTTTTGGTAGTTAATTGTAAATAAGAGTCTTACAGACTTAACTGTTTGGGCTGGCTTTGAACTGTGATCCTCAGATCTCAGCCTCCTGAGTGGCTAGGATTACATGCATAAGCCTAGTGACTGATTTTTTTTTGCCAGTGTTGGTGCTTGAACTCAGGGCCTGGGCACTGTCCCTGAGATTCTTTGCTCAAGGCTAGCACTCTACCACTTGAGCCACAGCTCCACGTCTGGCTTTTTCTGTTTATGTGGCACTGAAGAATCGAACCCAAGGCTTCATGCATGCTAGGCAAGCACTCTGCCACTAAGCCACATTCCAAGCCCAACTGATAACATTTTTAATGTACAGCGGTGGTCTCTGGAATTCCCAGATGGTGGGATATTGTTTAGGAGGGATGACTTTCACTGAGACCTGGAGCTAGCCCAGCTCCCACTTGCTTTCCTCTCTTGGGAACCACTCTATCCTGAGTTAGGAAGCCCACAGGGTTTAAGAGAAGGCAAGTTATATTCTATATTGGCCCTAAATGTTCTTCATTTGGCTCCATTCTCATGCCAACAATAGTTCCTGGCACATAAATTGGAAGTTGCAGAGTGAACCAGCATGTGAAAGTACCAACTGCAAGATATTCTACTGGCTTTCTTTAATATAAAGTGGGGCACAAACCACTAGAGGGTTGGAGGACTCCCGTAGACCTATAAAGCAAACTCAGAGCCAAAGTCTCTTTAGTAGAGACCAGGCACTTTTAGTGGCATTATGTCGAGAGCCCTAATTGTAAACAACCTGGTCACTTTGCACGTGAATGTCCCTTCGGCAAACAAAGCCAAGGGGCAATGCCCTCCCAAGCTACAGGTAGACCACTCCCTGCCACTCTTTGTCCCAAATGTGGTAAGGGCCTTCATTGGGCCAACGAATGTAGATCCAAAACAAATGCCCTTGGACAGCCCATTCTCTCTCGCAAAAGCTTCCCTCGGGGCCAGCCCCTGGCCCGGACCATCCCCAAGACAAACCCAGGGGCGATAGGGTTTGTCCCCTCCCAAACTCCCAGTCCTACACAAGCCCCCACCCCCCAGGATGTTGCCTTTTCTCTTACAGATGCAGCTAGAACTCCAGACGTGGACCTTCCTGTTTGAATTTATTAAATAACAGATTAATCTCTTGGCTTCTAAGCCCATACAGGTTCATCACCATCGCCTTGATATGGCAGACCACAGCATTGAGATCTAGGATCTACCCCAGGCTTTTAATTAGTGTTTTGCCATGAGCTTGTTCCAGTGGGAAACAGCCCCCCTTCTTTTTCTTATTTAGAAAACCCTTCTTCTTATTCATAACTCCTGACCATTCAACGGGCAAGACCTATTGCCATAAGGGATAGGTTCGCCCCTCCTCCTATAGGCTTGGGGGAGGATGCACCTATGGGAGGAAGAAAAAATGCTCAAATCAAGGGTGCAGGTAAGACTGCAGGGGGATGGATCCGCGAGATCCCAAAACCCAAGACCCCTGAGTGGCAAGCTCTGGTGCATGACGGTTGGCATGCATACCCACAAGCCATCTCCTCAAAAAACATGCCAAGGCGTGTTACATTCCCCACCCCGAGTGAGGACGCTTGCTTGGAGCGGAGAAAAACCCTGGCCCTTAGAGGAACAGAGCCTCTGTCACCCCCTTAAAAAGAGCAGCCAACAATTGATGGTCAATTTTCTAAATAAGAAAGGGGGAGATGTCGAGAGTCCTGCAGGGAGTCTCTCTGCATGATAAGCTTGACTATCTCTCTGGAACATCTCTCGAGGCTATTTACAGAATCTGGTCTTTTCATCCAGCCCCAAACAAAGACCAGGTAGCTGCTATTGACCACCTTTTCACATTGCCCTAAGCAAGCATCCTGCAGCTGCTATGCCCAATGAAAAAGCTTCCTTATTCTAAGCATATAAATACCCCTGTGTGAAAAATAAAAATTGGCAGCTTGATCAGAATCCTTGTCTTGCTGTCCTTCTTCGTGTCTCTTGTCCCTTCATTCCTTCTCGCTTAGATTCACTGCCCTCTTTGAAGTCTTGCGGGTTGGGACAGCATTATGAAGCCCAGGACTGGGGCTGAGCCACAAGCCACATCCCAGTGATGCTCAAAGCTCTGAAATAGCCCCTCCCCTAGTGCAGGGTCATGGTTTGAATGATCTCTTAAGGAAGATCAAGGAGATTCATGGACTCCTCTTGCAGGACATTGGTAAGATCCTTCCCCAGGCTCAAGCAACTTCCCATTCCTACAAGTGGCCCTGGGTTTGCCCTGATACAAATCTACAGATGGACTGGCACCTCTCCCATAAAGTGCCCATGGAGGCTTATGGACACCATGCATGGCTATATTTTTGTTTAAAAAATCAACTGAGGTCTTCATGGGATGCTCAGTAACTTGATTCCTGGAAATTAGATGATGAACTAACCACACAGAAACTCTACTGCTGCTCAAACAATTCATTTATTAAAGTTAGTGACGTGTAATCTGCCCCTAATACCAGCCAGGGTCTGTACTAAGTACTTGCTGGTAGGTTAATGAAGAAAAGATACACACAGCCCTGGTAAAGCATCCCTTATCTTGACAGCACTTACATTCTGAATAGCCTGGAAAGAAGGGCCAGAGATAGACACTAAATTTCATAAACTGAGGAGTTGTTAGGAGATGGGAAATGCTGTGGAAATAAGGAAACACTGCACACCTAGCATAAGGCGGACTCCAATCTAAAGGAAGACTGTCACTTTAAATCATGCCCATTAACATGCTGGCCCTTGTGCTTGGAGTTAGAAGCTTTGTAGCTGCTAGCGCTGCCAGCACAGAATTCACTATGAGCCTGGAAACCAAGATTTACCTTAATGTCAAGCTTGTTTTTACCTACAATCAAGATTTAGCATTACAATGTTTTTTTTTAATTGCTAATATACTTCAATAAAGTGCATCCCCACTCTCTAGAGAATTTGCTGGTATCTTTTTGCTTCTTTGTTTTTTCAGATAAGCTCTTGCTCCATAAATCAGGCTGGCTGTGTTCATTAGTTGACTGTGGTCACTAACATGTGAAAGATTTTTTTTTTAATTCATGTGTTTAAATTCTAATGAAATATCAACTGAATAGATATGCTATTTTTCAAATACCCATTTTTTTTTGTTGTTCTTACACATGGCCTTTCTCCATAGCCCTGGCTGGCTCTGAACTCCAGATCAATTAGCCTCTGTCTCCTAACTGCAGAGATTACACCACACTCATTAATTAGATGAACCTAAAGAGTTCTATTTCAAACATTGTTTAAACTTTCTAAGCTAAGTTTTTCTATTAAAACAAACTTCTTAATCCCATAGAAGGAAAGATAAACAGGGAAAAATACTTTGTTACAAGGAACTTTGCACGGGGGTGATGGAAACTGCTCTCCAGGTACAGCCCACCTGGGTACTCTCCACTATGACAGCATTGACCAGGTCATATTCTTGAGGTTCATATCCAGCCGGACACTTCAGAGAATCCAAGGTGAAAAAGATGCTGTAGTCGATCACCCCATTTCTTTCCTCTATTGAAGTAATGTAAATCTGTGGTGAGAAATGATGAAAAACTTTTTACAGCAAAGCACAATCCATCATAGTGGGATCTGCACATCCTCATTCCAGCTCTAACTGGCACACTGTTCCATCCCGCCATGGATTCCCAGACTGCCTGGTACACTGGTAATGCAATACACTGGCTCTTTGTCAACACACCTATGGCCCAGGTCCCACTTTATACCAATTCCAGCAGAGTCTCTGGAGATGGTCCCAAGATCTTTGATGAGAAACCTTTCTCTAAACATTACCCACAATTGCATAGTTAAGGCTGAGAGATTGAAGGGAATAACTTGAAAGGAATGCAGTGGGAAAGAGCTATTATTTTCCCTAATAATTTAGAACTTAATTATATGCATTCTATATTATTTCCAAATTATCTCCTTCTGGAATTCCTGTTATTTCAATAAAGAAAATGGAGTAGGCGCCAGCGGCTCATGCCTGTAACTTAGCTACTCAAGAGGCTGAGATCTGAGGACTGGGGTTTGAAGCCAGCCTGAGAGGGAAAGTCAGGGACAATTCTCAGGTGCTCAGTTCAAGCCCAAGTCTCCCCCCAGCATATACACCACACAGAAAAGAAAAGAAAAAAAAGAAAATTGACCCCTCTCTGGTAAAGAACATATTCCACCCCCTCTCTTGTGTGTGTGTATGTGTGTGTGTGTGTGTGTGTGTGTGTGTGTGTCTGTATGGGTGTCTGTGTATCTGTGTGTGCCTGTGTTTATGTTTATGTCTGTGTGTACATGCACTAATACTGGGGCTTTGAACTTAAGGACTGGGCACTGTCATTTAGCTTCTTCACTCAAGGCTGGCAATCTACCACTGTGAGCCACAGCACCACTTCCAGCTTTTTGCAGGCTAATTGGAACCAAGGATCTCACAATTTTTCATCCCCCTGCTGGCTTTGATTTATAATCCTCAGATCTCTACATCCTGAGTAGCTAGGATTATAGGCTTAGGAATCGGATGGTGAACTAATCACATAGAAGCTCTACTGCTGCTCAAATGATTCATTTATTAAAGTTAGTAACATGTAATCTGCCCCTAATATTTCCCAACCTTATTTCATGCTGCTTTCTATAGACTCTGGATCTTGAATTTTATGATTTTCCCTCAATTCTCATAAATTGTATTTATTTCTCCTGTTTCCCTGCCCCTGTTCCCATTGCCATTTGCCAGGTAAATACTTTGTACCCATCCACAACCCCTATTTTCAGATCTTCCAGAACATTCAGTAGATTTCTGAGATCAAAGATCATCATCACTAGGGGAAGATATGAATATATTTAAAAATAAGTTTGACATGGAAACAACTTACATTTTCCACATGCTTACAGTTCATGGGCTTCACCGAGTGTGCCTTGATCTTTGAGTTCCTTGACTTCTTAGAATACTCAATTTCTACCCAGTCACCCTTATAGGGCACAAAACCTGAAAGAGCCATGGAAAAAAATGAGTGACTAGAAAACTATGGTTAGGCCACTTCCTTATACTTTTCTTCTCTCTTTTCTTGTTTCTCTCTGTTTCTGTTTTTAAAGTACTATGTATTGAGTCAATGAGATGTTACCTTTGTTTATGTTAATTTTGACAAGCTACTTTGATTTATTACACACTAAAATAACTTGCATGCTATTTAAAGTACACTTTTCATACTGAAACACATCTTTTCTTTTGGAAGCCCTATGGTTTGAACTCAGGGCCTCATGCTTGCTAGGAAGGTATTCTGCCTCTTATAACACATATTTTCAGATGAAACCAACCTCAGAGTCAATTGTCCACTTGTCTATGATAATTTAGCATGACATAAATCATACCTGTAGAAAAGATGTCCAGAGAGAAGTAAAGTTTCTTATCAATGTATACAATATTTTTCTTCACACGGGTAACACAGCCAGCTAAAACTCTCATTTTGGGGTCTGGTTGTATAACGACTTCAAAATTCTCAGAGATAGCATCCACCTGTAAGATATGTAAATTGTTACTGAAAATACGATATAAAATGTCAAAATTAATTTGAATGCTTAAAACATCAATGTTGAAGGATTTTGGCATATGGTGAAGAGAGGAGGCTAGGTTGAACCTAGAGGTTTCAGACCAGCTTGTGCAATGTAATATGACCCTGTCTCACAAGATATTTTAAAGTTATCCTCAATACCAGTGAACGTATTTCACATTATCTTACAAAGAGATCAGAGGAAATAGAGAGGAAAAAAGCAATACCCATGTTTCATGCATTGATAAAAGGCATCCAGAAATTTTAATTGCACATATAGCATTAGATTCAGAGAAAAAAAATAGTGCTGTCATCTCTAGAAATTTTCAACTTATTTGGAGGAAAAGGGACAGTAAATCTTTCTAAGCAAGTAGAGTTACAGAGTATAAAGTAAGTTCAAAAATTGGTCTCAGGAATCCTGAGGCAGAAGAAAATTTCAGACTGCTAGAAGGCATGCAAGGGTATTTACCTGGAGGAAATCAGATTTGCGCTGGGTTGTGGATGGATACAAAGTATTTGCCTGGCAAATGGCATGGGAACAGGGGCAGGGAAACAGGAGAAACAAATACAATTTACAAGAATTGGGGGAAAATCATAAAATTCAAGATCCAGAGTCTACAGAAAGAAGCATGAAATAAGGTTGGGAAAATAACCTCAAATGAGGGACAGTTCTGAAAGAGCAAATCAAAATAAAGGTCAGTTTGCTTATGACAGAGATGCATACAAATATTTAATGAAATGTAAAATTTTTTTGCTTCAGCTCTGGAGTTTAAGGACAGCTAGAACAACATATTGAGACTCCCGCCTGAAACAAAAATCAGAAATCACAACCAATATTAGAAAAAAAAACCTACAGCTTCAGAGGAGTAGGACTTCAAATTTCACTATATCCACTGTACAGGTCACACAGAGACATTGAATTAAAATACAAAGCTATGCTGAAAGCCAGTAAGACAAGGACTGCCCTCAAATTCATAGTGATCTTACTTTGATTGCCTTTAGTCTGGAAGATAGTTCATCTTCTTCCACAACTGCGGTAACTTTTTGTCCAACTTTTAGAGACGCATTGCCAGTCGCATCAGCACTGAAGTAAATGGACTCATCAATCCAGCCATGATCGCTACCGAAACTTGTCACAAATCCTTCCACAGTTTTCAATTTGCTCTCACCTATAGGATGAATAAACAACAGGTTCCAGAAATCAGTCTCAAAAGCAAACACCCATTACAAAGAAATCCTACCCAAGGAAGACAATGGTAGCTGTTATCAATTTCTAGAAAGAGGGTGATTCCAATTTGAGATACAGATGATACAGATAGTACAGTTACATGCAGGGTGCTAGAGTCAGAGTGCCCAAGTTCAAATCCTGATCATACCATTTCTTAGTACAGCTCAGGGTCCTCACACCACAAGCAATGGAGGAATGTGGTTAAGAGCACAGTGTTGGAAGCTAGATTGCCTGGGTTACAGTTACAATCTAGTAAATTCACTCATCTCTGCAACCCCAAGCACAATTCTTAACAATTCTAAACTTGTTTTAAAATTTTTACTTTTTGCCAATCCTGGGGCTTGAAATCTAGGAGTGAGCACTATTGCTGAGCTTTTGTGATCAAGGCTAGCTCTTAACCCACAGCTCCGTTTCAAGCATTTTGTGGTTAACTGGAGTCTCAAGGCTTTCTTGCCCAGATTGGCTTCAAACTGCAATCCTCAGATCTTAGTTTTCTGAGTAGCTAGGACTAAGGTGTGATCCACTGGCTCTTGGCTGAACCCGTTTTTTTCTGTAATCAAGGAAAACACCAATGTTTGCCTAATTTCAATTGTAAATGCTAAGTGACATAAATGTCAACTGCTTTGAAACTGTGAGCGTCTTGAACAATCTAGAGTATAAAATGGTTTTATTATGATATCTATGTATGGTAAGTCTTTAATGGACTGCTATTTGTTTCTTTGCATTGCCAAGGATGGAGCCTGGGCTTTTCACATCCTAGGCAAGTGCCCTATTACTGACTGCACACACACTTTGCCTTTATAGGCCAGTTATTACACAGCTGTTACATTTATACCAACATACTGAGAAGCATCATGTGCTATATCTCAACAGATAGAGTATTGCAATATATCAGGGTTTTAAATCTAATCATCAAGGAGTTTGATTTTTCTGAATAAGCATAAGTGGTAAGTAGTATTCCGGAATCCTACCCCACACAGTAGTACTGCAGAAATGAAGCTCTGAACCACAGTGCCCCAGTTGCCTATTCAACAATTAGGGAGGGGGGCGGGGGGAGGATTGGGTAGGGGGGTGGGGGGAGGCTGGGAAGGGATGGGAAGGAGAAACAAAGGAGGAGGCTACAATGCTTGATAAGAAATGTACTCACTATCTTGCCCATGTAATTGTAACCCCTCTGTATAGTATTTTCACAATAAAAATAAATAAAAAACAATTAAGGGATTAGAAGCATGGCTAGGAAGTCTTTTATTATATATTATATCATGAAAATAAAATGCAGCAGAACATGAGAAATTGAAAACAGTAAGGATTATGATTAATTATTATTATTAAGTTAAATGTAGTAGTCACATCATATCTTAGGAGAAAGAGGAAGGACAGAGGAGACAACAGCCACTCAGCACATGAAAATTTGTCAGACTCTCTATTCCCAGTGGAGAAAAGAACAGGTAGTGAGGGACGCTGCCATGAGAGAGTTCAGCTCAACAGGAAGAATGGCATTCCCAGACGAGCTTCGCTAAGACCCAACCACCTCCGCTGGGAGTCTGTACTCTTCCTCCTAGGGAGGATGGCAGATCCCTGTCCCTGCTGAGCACAGTGCTAACCACAAGGCAATAATCTCGTCCCACCACCCTCCTGAGGACTCTGAATGCCCTCTGATAGATTAATTAAGTCAGGTGTGTTGGATGTGGGTGTGGGGTATCAATTCTGCTAGGTCACTGCCTCGCTGTGTGCCTCTGTTCCCTATTACCCTGACATGGCAATGCTAGGCGTGCTCTTCTTAGACTAAATTAATGACACACATGCCTTAGAGCCCTTAGTCCCATGCCTGGAACATACAAGCACTAGACACAAATTAGTATTACTATAAATCAGATCAGAGACATCAGTCACCCAGCAAACGTCCTCATGTGGAATCTGTTGCCCCTCCCCCCCACCCCACCAAGCGCCGATCTTACCCCATCTCCTTTGATGGTCCACTGTAGGATAGACCTGGGGCAGGGCTCCAGGAAATACAGAGAAGCACTTAAACCTGCCTCCTGCTCTCCCCTGCATGGCAGATGTGTGATGGGCCCACTTGGCTTCGATCACACACAAGAACAAATTCGGCCCCAAGGTAGAGCGTTTTGCTTCTCCCAGAAACAGAAAACGTTGGAGCCCACCAAGCATTTTGTGACACAACTTCTGTGTATTAGCCCAAACACTTCCTATTTGGGTTCGACAAAGGGCGTTGGGGCATGGATATAGGATGCCCTAACACTGGAAGTCTCCGGGACCCCCACTCCCCGCCACCGGACATTCTAGAAGGCCTAGCCCCACCCCTCACACTCTTCCCTCCTGAGGCCCAGGGGCAGAGGCCAGAGCGGAGAGCCGTTAGGAGCATTAGGAGAACCGTTAGGATGCGGTGGACCAGGGGGACTTGCAGAGGGGTACCTTGCACCGTCTCCTGCTGTTCTTCGTTGGTGTCCGCCCTTCTTCGGAAGAAAGTGAAAATTTGGCTCAAAAGCCTAAACATAGTTCTGTTACTACTGGCACTCCTGTGCCTCACAGCCAATGTGTCTACGACACCTCCTCTGTCTGAAGGTCCTGAGGTCACAATCTTCAGTTAAGGTCTGGCCTCAGCCCCTGTGATGGACAGGGACACTGCACCACACAGGAGCTAGCATCTGCCTTTTAAACTCCACCTCCGAAGAGGCCCGCCTTTTTCTTCATTTGGCCAACGAAGATGCTATCAATAGTCACGTGGACTCCTATGGCCAATAAGAGGTAGTCGGCAGGAAAGTCAGGGCTCCACCTATTTAATGCAAGGTCACCAATCTCAGGAAAATGGCTTGGGCGCTAAACCACACTGGCCACAAGTACCCGGGGTTATAATTTGGGGTCAGAAAGTTTAAGGTATGGTATAGATGGGTGCTGGTGGTTCATGCTTGTAATACTAGCTACTTAGGATGCTGAGATCTGAAGATGGTCTTTGAAGCCAGTCTAAGCAAGAAAGCCCAGGAGACTCTTAACCTCCAATTACCTTCCAAAAGGCCAGAAGTGGAGCTGTGGCTCAAGTGGTAGAGCGCAAAAGGTCAGAAACAGCACACAGGTCTCGAGTTCAAGCCCCAGGATAGTATACACACATAAAAAAAGATATGGCAGACACCTTCCCCCATGCTGTGCAAATGAAAATAAATCTAGCATGATGTTTAGCATAAGGACTACCCACCCAGTGGATAGTCACTACTGTTCAGCAGGAATCTTATGTCAGTCCCATGAAGATGTCACTTTTATAGATGCCCAGTACCTGTCTTGTACTAGGGTTCCTTTATGGAGCCCAGTAATAATTTATCTTACAATTATTTAATGACCATTGATAAAACTTATCCATTGCTTACTAATTATATTGATTGCTACACAGATCCTATTTATTCATTCGCTCAGTAAATATTTGTTGAGTCCTGTGAACCAGTAAAACAGCTCTGAAATTAGTGAATAAAATAGGCAGTTAGTTTGGCCCAATAATAGTAAGTTTCTCATACCAGGTAGGAGAGGATATGAAGTAAAGCCTTTCTCTCAAGGCTTTGTTACAAATATTAAAGTTACATACATAATATACTGAAAGGTAATGGACATATTGAGAAATATAACAGGATGACAGGTGTCTAAGAGTTTGACTGCAATTTCAAATCGGGTGGGCAAGATAGGCATCTTTAGGAAGAATACAGGAGCAAAATCTTGAAGGTTCTCCTGCTTGGAAGAGGGGTTCTTCAGGAAGACAATGTGTGAAGAAACCTGATGCAAGAGTTGCTTGCTGTGGCCAGATGCCAGTGTCTTGTGCCTGTAATCCTAGCTACTCATGTGGCTGCAACCTATGGATAGTGGTTCTAAACCAACCTGGTCAGGAAAGTCTAGGAAACTCATCTCCAATTAATCACTAAAAAGATGGAAGTGGAACTGTGGTTCGAGTTGTACAGTGCTACCCTTATGCAAAAAGAGCTCAGGGACAGCACCCAGGCCCTATGTTCAAGTCCTAGAACCAATGCAAAAAAAGGGTTCGCTTATGTGTTCAAAGAGAACATAAAAAGATGTGGCAGAGGAAGTAAGAGATTAAAGATTGGGAAATAGGAAAAAGAGGTCTATGGTAAACCATTTAGGACACTATAATTAGTTTTTATTATGTATCTGAAGGATTTGTAGCTTTAGAGGAGTCCTTTTGGGTACTTTGGTGGTGAATAGGCTCTAGGGAACTTCAGCACAGAGCATAGAGACCTACTAGGAAGGAACTGCTACAATCCATGACCACAATGGATCTTTTCTCTACTCCTGCACAGAACAAGACTGCACAGTTGCAAATAATGGCAGAGATGGATAAGAGGGGCCCAAAAGGTGAGAAGCAGGATGTCCTTGGAAATGGGCCAGAAATGTTCATTGGATTCTTGGGCTCACCAGTGTTCAAGAAAGTAGATTTGGGAGCAATGGCTCACATGATGAGCAGAGGGAGGGTGTCCTGAGCTTTCAACAGATATCAGCATGAGAATCATGAAGAGGAGAAGAAAGTGTTTTCCTTGTGGTATTAGTAATAGCTATAGCTTCAGAGTGTGTTTCAGTGCTGGGCATTGTTTTGAGCTTGTCACTGTCTTGAGTGTTTATTGTTGCTGCATTGTTATAGGAGAGCCTTGACACAAGAGAAAGTTGGATAATTTAACTAAGGCAGAGATGGGTCTCTGGCCCAAGTAGTGTGTCTCTATCTTTGATGCCCATAAACACAGTGTTATACTCAACCCCCAGCCTGGTTACCTCCTCTCATCCAAGATATCTCCAGGGAGAGGTAAAATCCCCACACAGAGGGATGTTTCATGGATTAGGATGTCAGATGTCTGTTTGTGGCTTTTTAGAAACATGAAGGACAATGGGTGAGCTCTCCACAGAGGGAGGTGACAAAGATCTTTCCCTGGGGCCCCACCATCTCAGTTGTGGGTGTTTGTATGAGGGAAATCAGTCTTTTCTGTCTAACTAACGTGTCCCCATTATATGCTAAGTCACTTTTTAAATCAAGTTTCCTGAAATTGTTCTGTCAAACCAAAGTTTTCACATCCTGTGATAAGGTATCTTGACACCAGGTTCCTAAAATTGCTTACTTCTACTGACCTTCCCAACTTCCTTAAAAACTGCAACTTTACCAGGACAAGAAGAATATGAGTCTTTTAATTCCACCAATAGGATTAAAGGGCAGAACAGTGCTCCTTGCATTAGGATGAAAAGAAAGTGGACTGCTTACTCTGTGTGCCTGCAAGACTCTAGCTTGAGTTGCTACAGCACTCTTCTGCACAGAAGTAAATTTGCAATGCCAGTATCTCCTTTGTCTCTTACATGTCTGCTTTTTTGACACCAGAGGGTCACAATATCCAATAATTGTGGGGGATCGACCACAATCGTCATTCCATTCATGGAAAGAGATCCAGACTCCCTCCCTGGGGAAATGTGTCCTGCTGCCTGGTTGCTGAAGCCCTGAAGATTGGTTAGCTGTGGGTGTCTTCCCAGACTCTTTGGAGATTTCTGCAATGTAAATGAAAGCCCTAAGGGCAGGTATCAGCAGCAACCAAGTAACTCTGCATAGACCAGGTAAGAAACATCACGAGAGTGACAAGGTATGCTTTGGTGGTTGGGATTCTGGAGGTTGACTGTTATATGAATGAGAAGTGTCTAAAGACATGAAGCAAGAATTGAGTCCCAATCTACATTTCTGTAGTGAGGGCAGTGTTAGATTCAAATTTCAACTAATCCAGCTTAGGGACTTATACTGACCTGCCAATTGCTAAGGGGCACTGTTGGAGGTGGACCAAGTGAAAGAAAATTCAGAAGAATCTAGGCCTAAAAAGTACCATGGGACCTAACTATTCAGAAGGCTGAAATCTGAAGATTGCAGTTCAAAGCCAGCCCAGCAGGAAAGTTTGAGATTCTTTTTTGGGGGGTCCAGTCGTGGGCCTGAACTCTCGACCTGGGCGCTGTCCCTCAGCTCTTCAGCCCACGGCTTAGCACTCTACCACTTGAGCCACAGCGCCACTTCCAGCTTTTTTCTGCTTATGTGGTGCTGAGGAATCGAACCCAGGGCCTCATGCATGCAAGGCAAGCCACTCTTCCACTGAGCCACCTTCCCAGCCCAAGTCTGAGATTCTTCTCTCCAATTAACTACTAAAAGGATGGAAATGGAGCTGTAACTCAAAGTGGTAGCACACTAGCTTTGAGCACAAAAGCTCAGGAACAGTTCCCAGGCCCTGAGTTCAAGCCCTAGGACAAAAACAAAACAGAACAAAATAATCCCCCCCCCAAAAAACCAGACACTAAAGAAAAAGAGACAAAATGCCCTGAGTGAGATTCATTGTCTTCTCTTCCTCCTTTTATAATCGTACTGTTCCCTCAGGCCAGGCACTAGAGACAACTTTCCCACTTCCATTTTTTTGTCAAGGTGATGTACAGAGGGGTTACAGTTGCATAAGTAAGGTAATAAGTACATTTCTTGTCAAACTTGCTACCCCTTCCCTCATTTTTCTCCTACCTTCCCTCCCCCACCAGCTCCCCACCAAGTTGTACAAATCATTTCCAACATACTCTCTTGTGTATATCGCTGTTGCATTGGTTCCCCCTTTGTCCTTTGTCTCACCATTTGGTTGTTCCCCTTCCCTTCCCTAATTCAAATAAACATATATACAATACCAGGGTACCAATATCAAATACAATTCCCCCCTCTCCCTTGTCCTCTTCTTCTTCCTCTCTGTTCCTCTTTCCTGGCTCCCTATCCAGAGAGAAGGAATTAGAGAAATGCCACACAGATCTTGAAAATCTCCCCCTTGAAACTGGGGAAACTGAGCAGAGGGGCAGGACCTGCTTCGTTAGAGAGAAGAAGGGGAACAGTCTGCCTGCTCGGTGTGCTTACTTGCCAGCTTTCTGGCTGATGGCCCAAATCAACTTTACTTCTACAGAAGTAAATTTTGCCTTGCTGAGACCCAAAACAAAAACAAACTGGGGAAAAATCGTATTCTTTCCTTCCTCAGAGAGAGGTCACACTGGGGCTGGGGGGAGGAGGTAGAATTGGATTTATCAACACTCCCATCAGAGGTCTGAGATCTGAAACCTTAAGAGACAGTTCTCTGCTCGAAAGTCAATTCATTTCTGGGCCCACAGTTATATATTTGGGCTGAGCTGATGTCCATTTTAGGAATCCTCTTCTCTAGTGAGCAAAGGGATATGATCTATACAGCACCAATGGCCATTGGGAATGAAACCATCTGCCTGGAGAAAATGTCCCTGCAGCCAATGTCAAGTTCCGTTTCTCAACCAGGACCATCAGTGGGATAGTAATAATAATCCAGGACATTGGAACATATCAGGGGCTTGAGAAATTTCATTACCAAGGGAATCAAAGAATCAGTTCCTATTCATAAAATATGTTCAAAGTTTTTGATGTCCAACATGGAAAAGATGAAGGGCC